TCCCCCCCCCCCCCCCCCTCCCAAGGTTCCCGAATTCAAGTTCCTCAGAGGTTCTGAGCTTAATTTTTATTCATAGAAACTATTTGGTAGAGCCAAACGTCGCTTACCGGCTTCCACGTGGACGTCTCGACTGCCGAGCGTACCGTGCTCGTTTTGAGCCACGCATCGGTACGTGGTCGTATGCACTTCTGGTCGAAAGTTCTTCGGGTCGAACGGCCGGAACACTAGCGATCCGTCGCTACGAACGTATCGGAGGCCGTCCGACGTTTCGGAAATGATTTCGCCATCTGCTTTCTGCCAAATAATGATCGGCGGAGGGGATCCACCCGCGTTACACGTAACCACGACTCCCGCGGTGTTCAGAAAATGAACATCGTTGGGTGGTTCATTGAGGAAGTATAACGGGAGCCTTCGGACCTCTGAAAGAGAAATTCATTGATTACTATCGTCGTCCCTTCGGGAAATCATTCCATATCATGCTTAGAGCGGTTCGCAAACAAGTCTGCATATTTCCATATGCGAGAAATGTTTAATAAATTCCCAGCGTCGATATGATTATTCCGGACGTTAAGATTGATGGACAGCCTACAAATTAATCAGGAGAGATTGAAAGCATCGAGTCTGCGAACTCCGATGTGGCTCCCTGCCTGCATGAGGTAAACGCTGTAAAATCAATCTTTACAAAAAAAGTGAAACGTCGAACGTTTCATCCAGGCCGAGTCATCAGCGCACGATCAGTCATCTAACGCGTCGAGACAAAGTGGAGAGAAAAAGGCTGCCGAGCGGCCTGACCACCTCGCAAAATTGTGCATGGGGAGCTCCGCGGTCGATCTGATGAACTGCAAGCAGAGGCTCTCAGAAGGACATCCCCCGTTTCGTCCCCTGAATTCGACGAGAAGACCGCAGAGCAGCGGTCGAAGACCATGAAGGGAGATGAGGAACGATGATATTCTACGCAATTACCGAAGCAGGAGTCAAGGCTGACCGAATTTAATGAGAACGACAAGGGCTGCTCGCTCCAACTCCATGTCGAGACTCAGGCGCAGCGCTCTCGGTAGGTGTTGGGGGGGAACGCCGAGAGGGACATCGGATGAATGAAATATGGAATGCAGAAATTAAATACGCGACTCTGGCCTTAGCCCTCTGCCGGAACATGATATGTATGTCCTCCAATTAGTAAATACGTCCAAGCAGGCGCGTTGTTTACCCGATGCTTGAAGATCTAAGCTCTGGAGGCTCCTCTGAATTTCCCGTTGTCGATCCAGTCTCTCCAAGAGTGAAGACAGTGGAATAAGGGAGAATAATGGGTGTGCCGTTTCGTCGGATTTCTCAGTCCGCTCGCTCCCTCGACGACTTTCAATAGGAGTGCTATATCAATTTTCGTAGGGGTCGCGAGCCCGTTTTCTCTGTCCCCACGGGTGAATGAATGACTCGCGAACGACTGAAGGTCCCTCATTCGGTGCTACAAGCCGTCTGCGCCGCTGCAACATCATCGGAGAATACAGATGCCGCTGAAGCTGCCAGTCGGGCAATGTCAACGACAGAAGCCGCAGGTGCCTCAAGAGATTGACGTATCCCCTTCCGTCTATACCCCCGCTCGAGTCGGGGGCCCCTCAGCTTATGCCCCGCAAACTCTACGCATGCACGTCAAGGTCGACGTGAGGGACATAAGCGAGTGAGCGACTAGGGAAAAGACTGTCAAAGGCTTTTGTTGTTGTTGCTGTTGCTGGTGCCCGTCCGCCGCCTGGCTTACCGCGAGCTTGCCAACGTCAGGCTGCCGTCGCCGCAGCCGAGAGTCCGTGAATACGTCGATGACGACGATGGGTAAGACGACAGAATATTTCGGCTGAAAATGGAAGCGCCGAATATGAGGAAACGGGAGAGGTGACGGAGGGAGTCCCGGAGTGGCTCGGCAAGGCTTCGTTGCGAGCGAAGCGAAAGCGGCGGCCACCATCGATACTGCCTGAGATATTTTCCCTCCCGAAGCGAAATTTCTTCCTGCGCTGTCGACATTCCCCTCGTTTCTTCTCCTTTCGCTCGGGCTCGCTCGCCTCCGCTCAAATAGGTTTTCTATGAACTTTTGGAATAGCAAGCTTCCACCGATGCAAAAACGTACAGAGAAAAAGCTTCCGTAGGCCGCTTTTCCCCTCGCCCGCTACACGGACCGACATCGAGGTAATAACATTAAAACACCCAACAGTTTTTCTTTGCCGCCCCATTGAACGTCCGGTATTGTAGAGCTAGTAGCTCGCACGCCGTCGGTCGGTCCGACTGACTAGCTGGCCGGTCGAACGACTGAAATTGCTTGCCTAACTTGGACTGGCGTGAAATCTTGGCGCCACGTCGATCGGCGACGGCTCAACATACTGGCGTATGCCGCCGTGTACGGTGCGTTCGATCCCCGTGAGAAGTGAGCGTAATTCCGGTCGCGTGTCCGGCCCGAGGCCACCGCCACGGAATTCTTCACGGTGGGGGGCTATCTCGGGCTCTGCCGGCCGAGCTCTGGAGCTGTCCGTTCACTCGTCCGCCCCGATGGTCAATACGATTGTGGACACTCATTTCAAGCTTCATTAAACTCTCACTGGGGAGATGTGCATGTTGATGAGACCTCACAGCGAACACGCATATTCAGTACCGCTGGTAGTATGGGGAAACGTTAGGGAATCAGGTCGCGTGGTGGTTCTCCGGTAGAAGGACACGGACCCTCTTCCTACGAAGATCGCAGCGGGTCACGGAGTGTCTATCAGCTTGCCGTGCAGGGAAGCGAAGCGAAGATCGATAGGTCTAGGCTCAGTTCAGAAGGATTCATTGAGTCAGGCTCGGAGAGGAGTGAATCATATTTCCCGGAGACGATATCGATCGGGTCCAGAACTCTCATCGATGCTTGGAATCAGCTAATCCCATGCGGAGAACCGTCGACGGAGATGGGGCGAGGGAGTTCCTCATTTGTTCGGATGATAGTTTGAGGCCGGCGAGCCGTATTCCATGACATTGGACGGGGCGACGCGTTTTCCGGAAGAGAAAGGACTCTGGGTCCGGAAAAAAAAAGAAATATGGCGGAAGAAGAAAAGGGGAAGGAGGTTGAGTTTTTTCCCTCTCGTAGACGAACGACAAAGAGCTAGCTCGGCACTTTATTCGACGGAAACGTACCCGGAGAAGAGGAGAGCCCATGCAAGAGTATATTCGAGAGTGATGGAGAGAGAGGCTCGAGTGGAGAGCGAAAGCCAGCGAGGAAGACAGAAGAGAGCAGGCGCCCGAGAAAAGGAAAATAATGTCGGTGAAAGAACTGTGGGCCTGCCCTAGACCGCGGGCAAATTCACGAAGTCGTACGTGAGACATGCATTGGGAAGGGAGGAAGGAAGAATAAGCTGGCGTCCTTGACAAGGCGTTTATCTCTTCACCGCATCATTGACTAATCCGTGCAGCGAGGAGCGCCTATTAACAATGCTCTGCATCCGCTATCCGTCCGCCATCTGTCTGTTAGGTCTTCGGGAGCCCCGCACCGGCGGCTGGAAGGCTTAAGGCTCCCTGGCCGAGTGTTACGCAGGCTCGGAGCCGGTCGGCCATGTGTCTTGGCAGCGCAATCCATTCAAACGCTTGCAAACTGTTGGGCTTTATCCTTCGGCTGCGCGAAAGGATGGTCGTTGGGAGAACTTGGGCACGAGCGGTCGACATCGACGAAACTTGTCAGGTCTGGAGGGCAGAGAGATACATAGAGTCGTTTGGTCCGACGCGTCGGGAGAAGTTTCCCGTAGACTCGTGCCGAGGTCGGTCGGCTGGCTGGCTCGGAGTAGAGGTTCCGGGTCAAATTTTGGCAGAAGCAATATTGGCTATCGACGGCCCCCGCGACTAATATCCTCGCTTAATGGAGTCTGGCGAGGCACCGCCGTTGGCTGCAAGGCAGTCGACCGCGCGTAGAGGGCACTCGACTCCCAGTGACCGGCCAGATTCAAACGAGGGAGAGCGAGAACTGACCCCACACGCGCCGAGACGTAAAACTCAAACAACGGATCGAGACTCGGCTGGGGCTGACCGAGACACCGGGAAAATGAAATCTAGAGGAGACCCCGCATAGTTCCCCACTCCAAGCCGCTGGAGCTCTCTCCTGTGAGCTTTTCGTGGGGATTCCCATCGCTTGTGATCGGTGGAGAATCGATAGCGGTGACGATGTACGGAGTCCCTGGCAGCCACCTGCTGACACCTGTTCCTAAGATCGAGTGGATCGCTCCGTTTGTCAGTCAGCAGCCCAGGCAGTAAGTCAGTCAGTCAGTAAGTCAGTCAGTCAGTAATTCACCGGAAGAATCAACCGTCAGGCGGTGGGTCTGTCGCTGCTTTCGCCGCTCCATGGGAGCCCTTGAGCTGAATATGGCGACAGCGGCTCCCGCTCCCTCCCCGCAGCGGACCCAGCGAGCAGGGATTCACGTATCTACAGAGATACATCCGTCAACAGTGTCCTGCTCAACTCTCTTCCTCACCTCACACCCCACCGGAGCCGACAGGAATTCGCGCATACATTCGGACCATCCATTCATCAGACGCTCATCCGGCTTTCAACGCGTCATGAAATCACGCGACAGGGATCACGTACGCACAAGCTTCGGCAAGCGACGAGCGGGAACGAGACCTCAGAGCAGCGGAGCTCTATCCGACGTGTAAAGAGCTCAGATTTCCAGGGGAATTCCAGAGTGATGATTGTGATCTCGTTCCAAGCCGTCGCTGCGCGATTAGAGGCGTCGGGGATACATAGATCGATCGGTTACGAGGTACGAGCAATACGTCCGAGCTCGTTTTCAAATCGCGGACACTGGGCTCGGATTAGTCTTCGTGGATCCGCCGTGGAAGACTTCATTAGGAAGCCAATGATGTCAGACGAACACGAGGGGTGAAGCTTCACTTCAAAGGGAAGGAGACCGTCGAAGGACGGAGCTGCTTGTGCGAAATGGCCCGTTTCATCGAGTCGGCCGCATGGAGAAGATACGAGGATGTGGGATTACGTAGGTATCAGCGAGCTTCGCCGCAGAATTTCGGAACGAAGGAATTGAGAAACAAGAGGGGACGGCGGAAGAAAGCCGTGATGAGGACTCTGACGAGGGCGACAAGATTGAATTCGTCGCACCGAGGATCGCAAAGTGGACCAGGAGCTGGGAATTCATGAGCGATTGCGCATGCGACAAGATTCCTCTCTACTAGAGGAGAATTCGGATGCGAGGTATGCCAAAATGGGAGTTTCTGTTGGAACGATTCGATCACTTGGTCAGTGTCTCTGACGAGACGAAGAGGATTCAAGCCGATCGTCGTTGCACCGAAGAGGCGAATGAAGAGAAGTGCTCTCGCTCGTGTTGAGAGATAGGATGGGTGAAGGGGTGAGGACAGACATTTGAAAGGCTGACCCTCTAGCCGGAAATGGTTATTATTAGAGTTCCTAAATTCCGGACATTTTCATTTTCCGACTCTCGAATAAGCATAGATTCGATTGCGGCATTCTTATTCTAGTCGTTCCCACATCGTCCGGCGACAGGGAAAACTCATCGGAGGCGATTCCCTCGTCGATGTAATCGTCGGTCTTGGCTCTTGCGGATTGGATAGATATGAAATGTCCGGAATTTAGGAACTCTAGTTATTATTTCCATTATTATGCAGCACGACTCGACGGGGAGAAGGGGTAGGGTCCAAGCCTCAGCCCTGTTCCCATCCATCAACCCTCGTTTGCCGAAATTCGACAGCGGTCACTTTGACACTCTGGAGTTTCTTGAGAGTGCGCCCAAAATCTTTGACCTCTCTTCCGAGTCGTCTTCTAAATCCTTTGGGATCTCTCTCTGGCTTCTCGGTTCCCTTCAGATATCGTCACAATTCCTCGGAGCTCGAGACTGTTCGGAACTTTCGGATTTTTGTTGCTGAAACTTCGCCGGTCCTCCTGCGCTCTCGCACCGATCCAACTTGCCCTGAGTTCAACGCAGCGGCTCATGCAGCCAATCGAGTTCGCGTGGCGTGAGCTCGCGTAATTCATCGTGAGTCGCCGTATGCATGAGGTCAGGATGTCGGGATATGTTCTTAGCTAGGTAAAAAGGTGAGGAAGAAGAGGAGATCGCCGAACCCGGACCGGGGAAACCGACGCACCCATCTACGTGGGTCCATTAAAATTTCGCACCCATTTGGGGAAACTGCGAACGAGAGCGCGGAGCTTGAGAGCTTATCGCCAATTATCTTCGACCTCTAGAACGCGATTTAATCTCAGAATAAAAACAAGCTGTCGGCCGATAAAACGTGGGGTTCGGCACGCGGTCAGACGGCCGTCGAGGAGGAGCCGACACCTCATAAGGATGATGTGAGCTTAATTTAATTAGGGCTGTTGTCTTATCTCCAAGAGATACACTGATTGCCGGAGAACAGACGCACGGAGGACCGGCCGACCGCCTGGTCGACGCCACAAACCACCAATTCCAGTGGATACAATAAGTCGATTCATTGAACGCCTACCAGAAGCGCATGATTCGACGTCCGATTCTTTCAGCCCGTTGCCGAGAGTCGTCGGTTGTGCATCCGAAATCCGAAATTATCGGGAAGCTCCGAGCGTGCCCACTTCATTTATTCAACGATTCTTCCCTTTTCGACCGGAGCCGAGTGAAGACGAGCTTGGAACGGTAGTTTGAACACACGACGTTGTACACGAGTCTGCCGCGCTTTATAATTCTACGAGCCGGGCGAGAGCGGCGGGACCGTCTGTCGAGGTCTCAGACACATCGTTTTACAGTCAACAGGGGACCATCGGGTCGTACGCGCAATGAAGTCGTCGACGTTCTCAACGGATGCTTGCCGAACAATACAATGAGTGCCTACAATAAACAGAACATTGCGAGTGCGTTGCTCTCGTGAAGACGAAAGATTCGTTCAGCTCTCGCGGGGGCTCCTCTATTCGTTTCCAAAGTGCATAGCGCGCGGTATCGAATGTTCAGACTCGATAACGTCCCGAGCTAGAGGAAAGCGGATTTTCCCAGAGATTATCGCTCTGACGTACCCGTCGTCTGCTGTTGTTGATGTCGTCTTCGTCGTCCCCCTTCGCTGTTGCTGACGCCGGAGTCTTGACTTCTGTCGCATACAGTATATCAATCCATATATAAATAGGAGCCCTAAAGCTCGCCGAATGCTCGACCAAGCGAAAAACTTTCGAAGGATTTTTGCTTCTTCCTCCGTTCGCTTCATAGAGGCCGGCTTCGTCCTTGCCTTTGAAGACTGCGTACGTCCTCTCACCCGGCGTCATCCGAGTTCCTTTCGGTTCGAAGTGTAAGGCTGAGATATAAAGGGTGCGGAGGAGGACTCTTGCAGAAGAAATTCGAACGACCTCCTGGTTAGGACGCCGATTGGAGGGATTTCAAAGACATGAACCGGAGACGAAAAAACTACGACACGACATCTCACGCGACGCGTATCGCTCCTCGTCGAATCCGTCGCGTTAGCTCTGAGGCCATGCAGTTCGGTACCCCAGCAGAGATCTCCGAAATGATTTTCATTCCATCGGGCATGATGTAATGTTTAGTCATTGTTTTCGTAGTAGGTACGTTCCCGAGATCACTCGTCATTCCCAGCAATCATTGCGCTTCGCTCAATTCGATTGAGACAGAAATATGTGCATGGGAGAAACGATGCGATGCTCAATGACTCGCGAGACGACTTTCCTCTCGATGTATTTGGCATTGATTGCATTTTTTCGCTGCGCTTTTCCTCACAACGTCGGCAAAGCCGCCCTAAAAGCCGGAGGTAGTTCGATTTGGAGGCCGTACGTCCTGGAAGCCCTCTCAGTCTCGCGGGTCGAAATAGCGCTCCGCTCAGAGCCGCCGAAAGCGAGACCAAAGTGACTGAGCTCGCTGGTAGGCAATCGAATCGGTCCGAATCGGATCGGCCGGGCTACGCCAATTCTACTTCGAAGCCAGAAGCGATCGTCAGTTCGGGCTTTTAATCGTGGAAACTAGTGGACTGGTTTGTCGTCGAGCGAGGGACCCAGACGAGTGGGCGGCCAAGCCGAGCGGCTCCTGTTCCGACTTTCCGCTCAGACGATTTCCACTTCGCAGCGATTGCTTCGGATGTCGTCCTGCTAGCCGTGCGAACCGAACAAAGCATTAGGTGCGACTGTAGCCTTTCTCAATGTTCCGATGCGTTACAATAATCTATGGCCCTCACGCCGAAGCGGGCCACTTTCGACACCGCACAATACACACAGTCGGTCGGTCAGCTCGACGGTCAGTCAGACGGTCAGGAAGTCGGTCAGGACGTCGGTCGTTCTTCCATACATGAATTCGATGAATACATACTCTCTGCACGCAATGTCAGGCAAGCACATCAGCTTGTTCGAGCGTGACGGACAACTGACACTCTTCGGAGGACGAGCTCGGTACCCGCTTCGAAGACCTCTTCAGAATCATCACGATAAGGTTGTGAGGGAGACGAGACAGAGAAAACGACGATAATAACGAGAGCTCGACCTCGTTTGGGACTTCCGGAGAAGCATCTAAAGCTTCGCGAGCGAATCGATTTGAGCCTTAAATGACTGACTCTGTGGGCCGAGGGACGACGGACCGACGATGACCACGTCGACGATGGATGAACGAATCAACTACCGCGAGCGTCACAAGGATTCGACGACGGAAAGGATGTGCTCCACAACGACTGCTGGGAACCTCGTCAGCCTCATCTCTATTCAAGGCCAGAAACATCTTCAGACCTCGAGGGGTTCTGTACATCTTAGCGCCCGAGGCTCGTAGTAATTAACAAAACTTTCGGTCGTCGTCATCGTCATCACCGGGGCTCTCACCACCTTTACCACCTCGGCGGTCCTTGTCCACGTCGGTCGCCGCGAGGGTTTTCCATTTCGGTTCGCTTTGGTCGGTCGGCCGATCGTCCGGGCTGCCACCGGTCCCAGTTGTCGAAGATTCGACTAGGGACCAATTGAAGTTCATGTGCGCCGTCGTCACACGCCGGTCTCAGGGTGGCATTCACTGCTCGCGGGTCACTAAAGCTGACATCTCTGGAGAAGGGAGCATTCTGAGTTTCTCAGGGAGTTCCTCAGGGAGCTCATGGATCCCCCAACGCTCCCCCCATCGCATCGTAAGAACTCGAATGGCTCTTTCCCGATCGATCATTGAGACTGACTAGGATCTTCAAAAGTTACGCGAGCGATCTGCTAATTCTTTTCGTGCTGATAACGCGCTTGCTTGTCCATGCGCGCTCCGCCGTCTACCTCGGCTGATCAGTCGAGTGACACGTTCGACCGAAATTCACCTCCCAACGAATCATGATCGAATCGATCTTCGCTTCCGAACGCTACTCCGTCCGAAATCCGGGATGAATCGGGGCTCCGGAGAGTCGGAATTATGTCTCCAAACTTTCCTTTTCCCCGATCCGCTGACAAGTCTCTTGTCTTCATTCTTTTCGAGATTTGATCCTCTGAGGAATGAATCGAGCCGAACCCCTCGTTCTCACGAGGTCACATTTTTTCCACCGAGGAACTTCCCGTCGACTTGACTCTGTTTCGGAGCGGAATCGATCGGGAGAAGGCGCTGGGATCAGGTGTTTGCTCGCGACTTTCGCCCGTTATCGATTCGGGCCCTCCGATGTACTTGATACGTCTTTTAATAGTGTCACCGCGAGCCGAGCGTCTCCCTTTTCCTCTCGATGTCTCGAGAGAGCAAGTGGAGGCATTGTTGATATAACAACGTGTTGAAGAATTAAATTGGTTGCTCCCGGCGTTCAATAATTGGAGCTGAAAGCTCCATGGGGCCCCTCTCATCTGTCTCATGAAGAACACTAAGAATGACACGAAACTCGCAAAGAAAATAATCCGTTCACTCTCATCATAAGTCCGCATTTGTTCGGAGGAATGTACGATTGCCTCTAACGTGAGGGCTCGCCGCGCGGATTCTGTTTCATTCGTATCCGAATGTCGATGCCGCTGTCGCTTGGCGCGAACAAAACATGGCACCGACAAAATGCGACACGCAAGAACGAGTTAGAGGCGACATATTATGTCCCGTCTCGTTTTCTCTTGCTTCCCCGCCTTACGCCCTACTTTGCTAATTTCCTTCCTCCTGGCCTCTTCCGCCTCTGGCCGTGCGAACGGTGCTGTATTATTATTATCATCTTCGCCGCTGTCGACGGCGCCGGCGGTAGCCGCGTTATCAGCGGGAGACGCCTCGGATCTACTTCCGACTTCATTCTCCGGCTGCGACGCGCTCCCATTCTTATGCACCGACTCCTCGTGGAGTTCGTAAGTTCGTTCTTTACGTCACTTCACAGTCCGCTCCTAGCAGTTTTTCGTCATCCACCTTTGTCCGTAGACGAGTTTTTTTCGCCAACATTTTTTCGCCAAACAAAAGCTCCATTGGCTCAGTCAGCAAAATCTCCGGAGACTTCTGATCCGCGTTTCATTTCTACTCAAGCGGAACCCAACGGTCGTAAGTGTTTCCGAAGCAGGGAAGAAGATTGTTGACTCGGGTTGCACCTCTGATGGGAATTTCATTCCCGAGCAAGAATCAGAAGTAGATTCGCTATTTTTGAACGATTTACTCCCCAGGCGCAACGACTGCGAACTTTGTTCCTGACCGATTGCTGCAAGTTGCGAAGCGCATCGGGAGCTTCTCCGTTTGTCCAGTTCCCCATTGTGACTGTATATCACTGAGGGAATTCTCGGATTCTGCCTCGAGTCGAAGTTCTCTGAGCTCCTATGACGGGAGCAGGATGTCCCCCGCCACAAACTTCTCCACCTAGAGACTGATAGAGTGTCCGGCCTCCCGTCAGTTTGCCCTTCTGCGAGGCTGCATTATGGGGGCGGGTCGACATTTCGATTCCTCAGCTCTCCTCCAAACACACTCCAACGTCGAACACCTGGCTCAAATACTCGGGGAGCTCTGGTTCCTGCCCTCACGTACTTCTCCGCTAATTCCCCGTGTATGTTCAAGGACGTTCTTTCGTGACAGAATCATTCGCTCTTAGTTCCAGAGATCCAATGCCTTGTCTGCACCGACCCTTATCGACCCCTCGTCCAGTCGGCCAAACTCGGTGGGTGTTCTCCACTCTGTCCTGAATCAGTTACAACATTTAATTACACCGCGAACATCACTATCACCCGGACTTGACCCCATCTCAACCCTTCATTCTTCAGCCCCTCGGCTCGCAGAGTGCTCCAACGTACGACCTTCGGTCCAGGATTCCTGTTCTCATCCGACCTTGGCTGCTCGGCACTCGGCGGCAGAGTCAGAAGCATTCGCGAGAGATGTTTTACCCGACGAGCTTTGTATTCAGAACAAGTGATGCAGATTCAAGTATACGAGCATGACTAATTTGAACTCGATAGATCTCGAATATTGCATAAACCAAATCGATTGATGGTGATTCAATCCAGCCTCGACATGAGAGCAGGTATGTCGAGAGTGTGATCGGCGTTCGAAATTGCTCGTCTCCATTGGATGCCTGAGAATTATTGCGGCGGGCAGGCTCGGGGAAGATCCCGTCCGGGTGCATTTAGGATTCTGATTCTTGCTGTCTTACAAATAAGGGAAACAGGCGAGTCCCTGAGTTTCCACTCTGGAGCTCAGCGGTTTAAGCATCTGAGCATTCCAGGGGAGACGAATCACGACATGAAGCGCAGAGATTGAGTCGGCTTGGCAATGCGAGCCTCTCCCGGCATCTGGGACTGAGCCGTAGAGTGCCGTCGTCACTCGAAGCTGGCGCGTCAAGGGCGTGAAGACGCCCTTGACGCGCCAGTCACATTCCGCTCCGCGTCGGTCACATTCCGCCGCGGATATCTGCCGCGGATATCTGCCGCGGAATCGAAGCAGCGAATCAGCGAAGTCGACCAGCTCACTGTCTGCGGAGCGAGAGGCTTGGCTCTGCGGCTGACACCGAATCTGGGTTTAATTTCAGTGATTTTTTCCTCTGCGTTCTCTTCCTCCGCCGGTCTCTTCCGTGCCGTCTCCATGTCGCTTTGCTTCACTTCGGCGTCATCTTGGCTTTCCACTGTCAATGAGTCGAATTTCCCCGACTGCCGTTCTGAAGGAGTGCCGTTATCGTGGAGGAAAAGGGAAAGATATGTTTATCTCAGTTGGGCTCGGCTGTGCTCCAAGAGTGTCATCATCGACGTCATCTCCGTTGCTCAGCGGCACGATATCGTGCGGAGCTGCTACACAGGCCTCGCCTCTACGGAAAGATCAGAATCGAAGAACGACACTTCGAGAGCAGCCAGGAATGAATCCTCCGACTGAACATTCGGTCTTTCCCCGAGGACGCATATTGCAACGTGAAGATGAATACGAGAACGCTTGAGGCAGAACGAGAGTAGCGGAGGAACACGTCTCTCGTCGGCGCAGTCGCTCCGAGGGAAGTGAATCGAGCGACGGAGCCGAAAATCAGACGTCTCCGATGCAGCGACATTGTTCTCCAATCAGCGAACAGGTGTAACACTCCCTTGACTAGAGCTGCACCTCGAAGAGAGAAAACGAGAAGGAGAGACGGAGAGGCGAGCAAACAAGCGGAAGGAGCTCGTATGAAGCCCTTGTTATCCTCTTCGCTATCCACGAGAAGAAGTTGTCCTAATCATAGATGTACCATTTATCTCCATAATGAAAGCGATTGTCAAGAGAGGAGATAGGTCCTCGATGGAAAACGGTGGCAGCAGAAGTAGACTCGAACAAAAGAACTCGTTCGGGGGAGACGCATCGATTCGCTCAACTACAAACCATTTCTCCACGCGGATGGATGGATAGACCGTTGAGCGAATAGATGATAACGATGGATCTTCCTCAGACTTTGATAGAAGGAGTACCGGGATTGCTTCGCTCCTCGTTTGTACCGAAAGCCTCAGCTTGCCCAACTCAGCATTGTGCGTCGCGTTGTATGTAGGAAGACTCGGATCGAAGTCGTACACAGGTGCACGGCTTGTTCCTTTCCAGCTCTGATTGATACCCGCTCACATACTATCCTCGTGGAGGGAGAGATTTTCACGCACGCAAGTGAGCGTAGCGATGAGATGGATAATGATTAATGCTGCCAGAGGTGCCGAATTCGATGCTCACGGAGAGATGCGGGGATTCGTCAATCGTCCTGAGCTCCTAATCAGTCAAAACTGGACTCGGATCGGTGTCAGAACGGAGGCGGAACTGGCTATGGAGCCGGGACAGAGCCTGGGCGGGTGAGACAAAGATGGAAATAGGGTTCTATCCGCTCCGGGTGATCTCCTCATCGTGAATCCAGAACCATTAAGGTGACAAATGAGACGACGTTTGCTCGTTCGACCGTCTGCCTGCGCGCCTGCTGGCTCACCGACTTTCTCGTTCGTCCGGAGAACGGGGGGCCGTTGCGTCGCTGGCTCGGCTTCATCTCGAATGACTTGTCGTCCGGAGTTACGGGGAGTAGGGGCGACAATTTCTGAGGAATTAAAATTTCAAGCCAACCAGCCGCGGCGGCTCCGAGCACTCTCTTTGTTATCTTCCGACTGCGCGCGCTTTCCGGGAGGCGCACTACGCTCTGCGACCCGCGCGAACTCGTCAGGCGCGGACAGCTCATTCGTCTCGACGTTGCGCGCTGCCGATTCGACCTCGAGCGATGGACTGCGATGGACAGATAGGTGCCTTCGACGAGAGACGAAGAGCGGGATTCAGACGTTGCGTTGGTGGAAACAAACGAAACAGACGATGGAGTCGCGGAGGTAATGAGTTATGAGTCCGATGTGACGCGTTTTCGACGATTGGGGCAATTGACGAATTCATCGAGCGACCAAGCGAGCGATCGTCGTCGAAACGGTCGATCAATCGATCAATGGATTAATGGTTGGTTGCATAAATTACCGTCGCCTGCTTCATTATCTGTCGTTCGCAGGTCTTTTGAAATAGACGCCTCGACGGGAGCGAGCGAGAGCACCGAATGATGACGACCGTCGACGGCAGCACCTCACGGTATCGAATTT